GATTGGAGCTGGATGAGCTTTAAGGTCCCTTCAGCCCAAACCAGTCTGGGATTGATTCTATGATTTCATCCCAGCTCCCTCTTTGCACCATCCCAGAATGTCCAGCACTGGACAGGGGATGCAGAGGGTGAAGTTGTCTTTGCACAGAGGCTGAGCATGGCCAGTGCAGCTCTATCAGTCACACCATCTTGCCATGAAAAGACAAGTCCCCAGCAGAAACCACTGCCCTGCAGAGCCCCCACTATCCAACACACACACATTCCAGCCCAGGGCAAGTTCCCCAGCTTAGCCCTGCCCCATGGACACATCCCACCCTCCAAGCACATGCAAAGAGCCATCCTGCTGTGCACAGTATAGAGGTGCTGACACCTGGGCTGACCCCAGCACAGGGAGAGCCCGCAGCTCATCCCTGAGGCTCATCCCAGGAGCACTGGAGCTGGCACAGAGAAGGGAGGACAAATCCCTGGGGAGGATCCACCAAGGTAGGGCTGAACCATCCAGGTTCATGCTGGAACTGCTGCTTTCTGGTGTTATCACTGCGAGCACCTCAACAAGCCCAGCTGAGCAAACCTGTCTTTTTCTGGCTGGGGATGGGAGTGGAGCTGCCCTGGCAGGATGGTGCTCAGCAAGGCTGGGCAAGGCCATCCAAAGGCTGCAGGAGCCCTCATGGTAACGCTGGAGGCTGCTCCTTCAGCCCAGGTCTGCCAGTGACAGCAGCACAGCCCAGTCAAGCAAAGCTCCCCCATGCAAGTGTCCTGCAGCAGCCATAGGGACATGGAGCTGCATCTCTCCATATGCTGTCAGCTCCGCTGCAGCTTAGTGCCGTGGGACCCCAGGAAGCCCCCCAGCCCTGCTGCCCTCCTCCATCACACAGCCAGGATTATACGGGTTGGAAGGGAGCTCTGGAGATCCCAATGACACAGGAGCTCCCCAGCTCATGTACCTCACCATCAGGAACCTGTTGATGTACTAGCACCCAAACAACAGACCAGGGACTGAAGAAGCCTCCTTGCTCCAAACCCAGCCAGCTCCTACACAGCACTAAAACCTGCTTTGGCCACTCACCTTTTGCCTAGCCATGGAGACACAACCCATATTGAGCTACTCCCCTCAACACAGCATGCTCAGGAGCTGCCACAAATAGCCTGTCCCACCTCATCACCTCCCCAGCCCATCCCCATCAGGCTCATGAGCCCCAGCTGCACATATCTGCCCATCCCTGTTTCTTGGTACACACCATTCATTCCTCCTTCCCAGGCTCATCCCAGCACCTGCAGGATAATGCAAGACCCTGGCACTGCCAGTGGAGGGTCCTGTGCTGTTGCCTGGGATGCTAGTGGCTCCTGCTCCAATCAGGCAGGCTGGAGGGAGATGTCAGCCTGGCAGGTTGGCTCCTGCTGGTATTTGATGGGAGCTGGGACCCACATCCACCCATGGCCAGGCACTGCGTGGCTCTTCCTCATTGCTCCTTCAGGACTTGCGCTGACCTGTGAAACCCAACCCTATGTCAGCACCTCCCTGCACCTGCATCCCAGCTGTGGATGCTGGAGCCAGCACCCATCCTGGCTGTGCCCAAGCCCTGCCAGGGCCCCCCTGGGCAGACACAGCAGGTCAGCGGCTGCAGGCAGCCAAAGACTTTGACGTCACCCGCCAGGATGTGGCGGAGCACCTCGTGATGCTGGGTTGACTCAGAAGATGACAACGCTCCCAATGTGCTGATGCAC